AATTAATTAAAAAAAAGCAGTATAAAAACCGGAATGTCCAACTGATAAGGCTGAACATTTTTTCACTTGTTATTTACAGTAAGATAAATACATTCACCAACTTTTATTAAAATAAAACCATTTAAACTGGGTGTTCGGATTTATATGTCACTTAGTATATTTCGACCTGAGCAAAAAATGCAATTTTTGGGTTGTTTAAGAAATTGTTTAAACAATCCTTGACGCAATTTTGGACCTGGCAACATGCACGCTCGTTGAAAAAAAACTTCTTGGAAAAGATGAATCAATTTATGTGGTACCTATGTGTGTGATGAACATGTCTTTCAACAAAAAACTGTGGATTCCTCCTTTCACCACGTCGCCTTCTAACCCTGGCACGACCATCGTGCATGCCTAAACAAAATCGAGACTCGTCACTAAAGACAATACTCCATTCCTGATCCCTCAGTGACCGTTGTCTGCACCACTCAAAGCGATTACGTCGGTGTTCTCGAGTTAAAGGGAGGACCCAGTGCGGCCGGTATGAAAACAAGCCAAAACTTCTCATTCGTCGGTAAACACTTCGCATGCCAATAGGTCTTCCGTGTTCTGCAAACCATTCATTTGCAATGGACCTGCTGGTGGAGAAACGGTCCCTTAAGGCCAATAAACTTAGGCGGCGATCTTCACGGTCTGTTGTTCTACGGCGGCGTCCAGTGCCCCTTGCTCTTTGCGTACGGCCTTCTCGAAGCCATGCGTGACAACACCTAACCACAGTGTCTACACTTCTTTGCACTCTAACTGCAATTGCCCGAAAAGAAAGTCCAGCTTCCCGAAGTCCCACTATACGGCCCCTATCAAACTCACTAAGTTGACGAAATCGTACAGGTCTCCGTACTCTAGGCATCGTAACCGATCGTAAAGGATGTCAAGAACCAAAATCCGCCAACGTTGATTCTTTACTGCGACTGAAATATTCATTTTTAGAGCGTTAGTGAATTAAAAAAAAGCAGTATAAAAACCGGAATGTCCAACTGATAAGGCTGAAAATTTGTTCACTTGTTATTTACAGTAAGATAAATACATTCACCAAATTTTATTAAAATAAAACCATTTAAACTGGGTGTTCGGATTTATATGTCACTTAGTATATTTTGACCTGAGCAAAAAATGCAATTTTTGGGTTGTTTAAGAAATTGTTTAAACAATCCTTGACGCAATTTTGGACCTGGCAACATGCACGCTCGTTGAAAAAAAACTTTTTGGAAAAGATGAATCAATTTATGTGGTACCTATGTCCATATTTCAAAAATTTAGTCTTTTGAATCAGTGAAGTAAGATATGCTAATTTCGATTTGTTAAGCCCAAAGTATATTTTAGGTTAGAAGATTCTGCGACTAAGCTTGTAACGTGCCAAAACCACATAACCTTTTTTATTATTTTGATCACTTTCCAGAAATTTGAATTCCCCTTTATTAATGATAGAGTATTGATTCCTCGGTCAAACCCTTTGCAGGGATATAATTTATTGATCTATCGATCTCGAAACTACCTAATCCTAAAAGTATAGTTTCACACATCACTTTTTTAGATTGACGATTGCAGTTACGCCCCCTATCGGCCATTTCAGTGACTTGAATATATTTTCCAGGTGTTTCTCTTGGCCGTTTAAGTAAGAACTTTTTTGCCGCAAGCCTCTACGATGGATAGGTTTCCAGATACAGTACATTGCATTCTTAATTGGCCACCCTGTACACCTCCAAAGCATTTGTTCTATTGGTTATAGCTGTAGCTTATCTACAGTAGGTACTAAAACAGCGTGTTTCAATTAACTACGATACGTAACAGCAAATCCAGATATGTAACCGCATTAAGGTAACTGCTATAAAAGGATTAATATACTCCCATGCTGTCATCAATTGATCAGCACTGGAGAGAAAACATGCCAGTAATAAATGTTTTCCAAATGTTTCTATCGGTAAGTTGGTATATCGCTGCTCAATTGATTTTATTAAAAAACCCATATTTTAGGGCATAGTTTTGGTCTAGTACGACTAATAATTTTCGATATTCAGATAACGTATTTGTGTCATTTTGTTTTCGCAAATGAACACTATACAGGGTGTAATTCAAATGATGGCTAAAAATACAGGATATGATTCCTTATCTGATCTTAGGAAGAAAAGTTTATGTGAACATACATATGTCCTAAACCTCTTAACTTTTGAGCTACAGGGTGTTTGAATTTTAAGAAATAAATCGTATCATAACTTTAATACTGTTCATGAAATCTGCACCTACTAAGCACCAATAGGATTTTTTTTAATGTAGAATATTTTTTAATATTACTACCAATGACGTCCGTACTGGATGTATACTGGAGATTTTTCAAAAAAAATATGGTAGGTCATTGCTTTTGTCCTTATTTACTTTGCGATAAATTTGTCCTCTTGACTTTTTTACATCCGATACACCGTTGTCGCGTAAAAAATAAAAACCATTTTCATGCGTTTGTGGTATAACGAAATTATTATGAATTAGTAAGCTGGTGCCCTATTTTGTTTTTAAACTAATGACATGTGATCGATTACATTGTGAAAATTTCTTCAATCAATAATAAAGGGTAAATAAGTAAAGCATGGCAAGATTTTCAAAAAGAAGCTTTTTTAAACACAACTGAGGAACATCCAGAAACAAGTACTAGGAAAATTGCATTAATGCTTAAGGTTTTCTATTTTCTTATTTCTAAAATACTTGTTGATAAATTACTATACCCCTATCATATTCAAAGGGCTCAAGCACTGCTGCCGCATGATTTTCCATTGCGTTTAAATTTCTGCCGATGGTTTTTAGAAAAACTTGATGAAATCCCTTTATTTGATATAAAAATACTCTTTACTGATGAAGCTACTTTTTTCCGCAATTTCATTCGAAATTTCCATAATAATCATGGATGAGCCGCAGAAAACCCATAAGCAATTACGGAGGCACGTCATCAGGAGCAGTTTTCCGTGAATGTGTGGGCTGGAATAGTTGGAGATTTCCTTATAGAACCGTTCTTCCTTCCAGGTCGTCACTTTCTTGAAAACGATTTGCCAATTTTGCTCGAGGATGTACCTCTTTTATTAAGAGAAAAAACGTGGCATATGAATAATGGTGCTCCTGCACATTTTAACAATAATGCTAGATAATTTCTATATGTAGCGTTTAGGAATCGCTGGATAGGATGTGGGGGAACTCAATCTTGGCCTCCCAGGTCCCCTGATTTAAATAGTAGACTATTTTTTTTGGTCACCTCAAGACGGGTTCAAGTTGTAGAGAAAGTGAGGCAGAAAATTTTACTGTCTCGTTAAAACCATAAAATATACAGGGTGGCCCATCCATGTGTGGTCGGAATATTACTCATATACAAATACACTTTTGGAAAATCTATTATTGGGATGTTACACATGACATTTGAGGGCACATTTCTAAAATATTAGTTATTATACAGGGTGTCCCAATATCGACCTACATATCTAAGTTGTAATTTTTCAAGTGGAATGCCTCAAATTTTATTGTATATTTGGACAAACCAATTGAAAAGAAGAAAATTGATATAACATACTATGGGTTTTTGGTAATTAGCTACGGAGATATATAAGGTATTTTGTCTAGAAAAACCCCCCAATTCGGCAACCCCTCAGTCCGCCATTTTGAAAGTTGGAGTGCCGAATTTTATATCAAAAAAAACTCACATACCTCAGCTTTTATCTTATTTGTTACTTTTTTTAATTTTAATTTTTGTTCATACAGGGTGGTCAAAAACGCAAATTGTAGCTTTTTTTATACTAGACACATAAGGGTTTTTACGGCTATTTTTTCGGTTACTAGCACGTCTTTTATGGAACGGTTTAGTTCCCTAAAATATCGAATCATCCTTGGAAACAAATAAATTGTTGATTAGTTACAAACTGTCAAAATTACTTTTGTGAGCATTATAATAAAAACGTGTTCGAAAATGAATTTTTCTGAAGAAGAAATGGTGAATAGGATTCGTTTTGGGCGAAGCCCAAAGAAATAGTTTCCTTGCATCTCACACTTATAAGCAACGGTACCCTAATATGCGACATCGAAGACCGGAAACATTTTCCACACTACGAGACCGATAATTAAATTGAATAGCATTAGTTTTTTGATCCACGGAAATTTTTAAAGCTTGTTGTAAACTTATTTTTTCAATTTTTTATGCTTTGCAAAATCGCTAAAATCTCATGTGATAATTTGTAGGTGAGATGTGTTTTTGTTTAATTTTTATTCAAGTAAAGTCAGTTGATTTAAATAGCCAAAATGGTTTTTATTTTTTACCCGAAAACGGTGAATCGGACTGAAAATAGTCAAAAGGTCAAATTTGTTGCAAAATAAATAAGGATTTTTGAAAAAAGTAATGGCGTACCATATTTTTTTTAAATCTCCAGTATACATCCCATACGGACGCTACTGGTAAAAATATTAAAAAATATTCAACATCAAAAAATGTCTATTAGTAAGTGCATTTCAAATTTCATGAAAATATCCAGAATAGTAGGTAATAAAATCGAGATAAAACGATATTTTTTCTTTAAATTTTAACACCCTGTAGGTCAAAAGCTAAGAGGTTTAGGACATATGTTCATATACACTTTTCTTCCTAAAATGAGCTGAGGAATCATACCCAGTATCTTTAGATATCAATTAAATTATACCTTGTATAGTGTAATGCCTTACCTTGGAAAAATCACAAAGTAAAGATACTAGATACTCGGCATCATCAAGTCTGCTATAAACAAATTCAAGCAACTTCCAGCTTGCAGTTTCGATAGATTAAATAATTCAATAAAACTCTGGATAAAAGTGTAAGAGATCCAAAATGATAAATGACACAAGTGTTTTAATAAGAGAGCGCCCCAATAAGATGTTCGTGAAAGGTGATGGATTTTTTGAGTGCTAGGATGAATCCGTCCGCAATCTAAAAGTAAACAGTATGAGTGAACGTTGTTTACCTGTTTGTTGCATGCTCTGGCGCATATTAATCTTGTTTTGCCGACAGCAGTATCGCCGACCACGACGCACTTGACCAATTCCTGGTGGGGCTGTTCATTATCCATCCCCCAAGACCAACACGCTCACATCCATCACACCCACGCCCCCTACAACAAAAACGTATTTATTAGACAATATGTAAAGAATGCTGCAAAGAAAACATGATGATTGGTTGTCGAGTTATTTGCTGTACAACAAGCAGTATAGCGCCGGGCGACCCGCACGGGTATTATGTAAACCTATAAAACGTCAAAACGACCTATAAGATGTCATTTTGCAGACTGGGTACTTTTTAGGGCGCAAACAGTCATTCCACGTTCTCTCACTAGGATCGTCCATCTATGGAGGAATCACTCAACTAAACTACACGCATTGTTGGTTGCATATGTTTTGTGAGGCCTAGTGGTATGTGTCTGTGGTTTTTAACTCTGAGAAGGAAGTTGGTTGAATAGCAAGATCGCATCTGGCTGATTATGTGTATTGGTCTGCATGTGTATAAAATCAGTGATATATTTGCTGTGTGAGAAAATTATTACTGAATATGCTGCCAATGAAGTATATCTATTGGCTGTGCCCAACAGGTTATTTTTATGTTGTGCTTTCTGAAGACAGGTTATGTTCAAAGTTATAAATTATGAAAAACTTTGAGGAGAATTACAGGAAATCATCACCGCGCCCGAGTTGTGTGTGATGACTGTTAGCATGTATATGGCTTGTAATTCGACAGGGTACAGTGAATAGAATTATTTCTTATCTCTCCTATTTTTGAAATTCAGCAAATTTGCATATTTAATTTTCAGAATGCATAAGAAAAAGTGGATGCGCAACTAATTTCTAGCGTTGAATCTCAAGTAAGTGTATTTGAGACAAGAATCCAATGGAATTATCATCAACACATACAACTTACAGCTTACAGTATATTCAGATAAGAGATAGACCGGACATAAACAAGACCACGTGATCATCGAACGCTGTAACATTCGGCAGGGACGTATTAAGAGTCACGCAGTACATATTTTAGATAGTAGATGCTGATTTGCGTAACTTTGTAGTAAATTAGCACAATTCGATGTGTATACGATTGGTGATGGATATAGGATCATGTGGGGGTGGGGTAAGAAATATATAATGATGTAAATATACATAAGGGTTTCAAAATTTTCGCTTCGATTTCCAGCTTCGGATGCCGCCTGATGTTTGGTGAAATACAGTCGAATACAATCTCAAAATGGCGTTTAAATTAGCCTAAATTAAAAATAATCGTATATCTCTTAAAATTGCTTTTAGAATATTGATTAGTATATTTTTTGATTTCTAGGTAAATATGTAACCAAATTAAAACGTTCAAAACGTAAAAAAATGTGCATCGTTGAACATTGTCAGAAAGTAGATTCTTGAATAGGTTTTGCCAAAATGGGTTCAAAAATGTCAATAATTAATTAAAAAATACAGTAGCTTTATAATTACTTATAACTTACCGAATTTGATGAACGACATCTTTTATTGGAAAGATGAGCTTGATGAGCTTTCATCATCGCTACTGCCTGAAGCACCAACGTCAATAATGAATGGCTCGACTTGTTCCTCTAAAATATTGTCCAGTTCCCACATTCTCTTTTCAACTTTGTCTTTCACGTGCTTAATACAGTTTTCCCATTTTTGCGCTGTTATTAATTCTAGTGCTTCTTTGAAAAGTCCTTTGAGGTCACAAAATTTAAAAGTTGTATTGTGCTTAGCTATATAATTTTTAACCTCTGCCCATATGAGCTCAATGGGATTGAGCTCGCAATGGTATGGAGGTAAACGGAGCACAGTTTTATTTTGACTTGCTGCCATTTCGTCAATGGCGTATTTTTGATATTCCGCCTTGTTATCCTTGACAATTCTTAATAATTGCATTGCTTCTTCAAAGTTGATATTTTTCGAGCGGAGCCAATTTTGAACATCAACTTTCCTTGAAGCCGTTGTTGGGACCTTCTCCATTCTTCGAGAATGATAAGGCGCATTATCCAACATAATTACTGCGTTTTCCTCTAAGTTCGGTAAAATTTTTGAAAACCACTCTTCAAACGATTCGCCATTCATTTCCTCGTGGTAATCTCCAGTTTTCTTAGACTCAAAGCACCACAGACCGTCAACAACAAATCCATCCACACTGCCAATATGGCAGATAATGAGCCTTTTCCCTTTACCTGGAAATCGAAGTACTAACTCGTGTAGATTTATTTCAATAAGCGAACCTTTTTCAAATGTTTTCATCACATTCAGCGAAAAAACATTGAGACATGAGTATCAGATTGCTATAATTGGGATTATTTAGTCATATTGAAAGAAAGAATATTGAACGTCGTATGACTCAGCGCTTCACAATTTAATTTAAAGTTATAAACCTTTAAAAAATGAATGATCAGGAACCTGAAATACGCGCAAATATTAATATTAACAAATTATAACCTTATAAAGCTTAAAGTATGAATTAAAATGATTAGAAATATTAGGAACGGTACACAATATAAAACTTAGTAACTTTTTTTAAGTTTATAATATTCGACATATTTTAAGATTATATTAAAAAATTATTGAAATATCGAAAACACATAAAAACATGGCTTAAAAAAGTTCTAACAAATGAAAATGACAATAAAACATCCACGCATTTTATCGAAAGTTATAAAAGTTTTGTTACTTGTAATATGTTTTATCTGCCCCCTGGAATTAATGTTTAGAACCTTGTTCCCAAGGTTTGAAAAACATCCGATTGTTGTCTATTACTCGTATTTACCTGCTGGATTTTTTAATCCGGTGGACAGTCCATCTAGAAAGGCCCTCCTGGATGAAGTTACAGAATCATCAACCCATACTTTACTTGTAGTGTGTCCTGCGTTTACCCACGTTTCATCAAGGTAATAAATCTTCCTGTTTTGATTTCTATATTTCCCAATTTTTGTTAAATAATCCCTCCTCCATAGCACAATTTCTTCTCTATCCAGTAGTAAACTATTACGACCCCGTTTTTTCCATTTGAAATTTAAATGCTTCAGTAACGCATGGAAAGTTGATCGTTTGAAATTTGGCAACGTTGTATCTCCATTTACCTCCTGCAGTACTTTATCTATAGTAGGTATTTCATTCCTAAAGAAGAATTCATGCACTTTCCTCCTAATCGCATGCTTATCAGCTTCTTCCAATGATTTAACAATACTTTTGCGATGTTTACTGGTCATTGGCTCAGAAAAGGTGTGATTTTTTTTGTATTGTCTTAACACATTAAACACTGATGCGCGACACACCCCAACTTTGAGAGAAACCTTCACAACAATTTCTTTGATGGTTGATGCCTCGTTCTCCTCGCGCTCGATCTTATATATACTCAAAACGACGTCTTTCATTTCTGCACTCAGGTGTCTTTTTTTAGAGCGTTTCCTAGGTGGACTACAGGAGTTTACAACTTCATCGGCAGTATCTGTACTACTGGGCATTTTGCGCAAGCAGTTGATAACAATAACAATCAATAACAAGGTATAACAATAACAACGACAAACTCAACAACTTAATAAGATAACAAACGAAAACGTCCAAAGAAATATCAAATTGCAATGATGCACACGACATACGTAACACGTCTGAACCTGAATGTGACTCTGCCTTGATACGACTGCTCTGCCGCTCGGCATAGGCATTTAATTGCGAATTGACCAATGAGGGCTCCTGTTTTACGTCGAGACGGCGGCGTTAGCGTGAAAATCACCCGAACCTTTTGTTTACATCCGGTCTATCTCTTATCTGAATATACTGTAGACCTCCAGCAATGCCATCTCTGAAGCAGATTTTACATCTTATCAAAGCCAAACATTGATAACTGAAGCCTCATGACGTTTAGGCAACACGTTCAACTAAGTGCTAAGTTAAGATCTTGTAGGAAAACCTACATAATGTCAAAGAAAATCAGTATGTCAAAAAAATAAACGTCACTTTTCAAGATACGTAATACCCGTGATAAAGATCGCCTCGAGTTATTCCACCTGACCAGATTCTCCGACCGAAGAATTCGAGGCGGTCTCATAGTTACCTTCTTGGCTTTATTGGCACCAACCTGAAGCACGTATCCACTATCCCGCAGCAATCTCCGCGATCACAGCTTTAAATTGCAAAAGGACCCATTTAGAACGTCACACCGGCAGCGGTCTTTCCTCAATTGCATATTCAACAATTGCAACAGTTTACAAGAAAGTCGATAGCTTCAAGGTGGAACAGTGAACAAACTTTATAACTTATAACTCTCTTGTACATGAGCTTATAGTATTGTACTCTGCTCATTTCCGTTTTGTTATGATAATAATAATGACAAAATCGGTGACCAGTCCGTTATTTTGAGAGGTTATAAACTACTCATAAGCCGGCACACAAAACTTAAAAAGTGGTCAACTATCTGGGAACCTATCCATCGTAGAGTCTTGCAGCAAAAAACAGTTCGTACTAAAACGGCCAAGAGAAAAAAACTGGAAAACGTTTTCAAGTTTCTGAAATGGCCGCTAGGGGGCGTAACTGCAATCTTAAATCTAAAAAAGTGTTGAGGGTATTCAAAGGTTTCTGTAAAAAATACCCTGCATCTTCGAAACGGCTGAGCCGATTTTAACAAACTTGAACTAGTTGGAAAGAGCTATTCATGAGCTACAAATATTATAACATTAAAAGTTCTGTTAGTTTCACATGTCGCCGCTAGATGGATTTTTTGGACATTCCGATAGAAACGGTTAATTTTCTCAAAAAAATTAAATGCATTGATATATATATATATATATATATACAGGTTGTCCGCAAAGTTGGGGTTTCCCTTTTCAGAAACAACTACCCTTGAAATAACAAAGGTGATGTGTAGTGAAACGAGGGCGACCAAGTAAAAAAAATAAAGGAAAAAGTACTGACTCTCCAGTTGACGAGAAGGGCTACGTACGTCTCTGCCCGAAATCATACCGCTCCAACAGAAAATGAAATCAGCTGATGCGCTACCGAGCAGACGCAGGCAAACAAGGAAGACAAAATGTTGCGTAAAAAGTCTAGGTATTGCATCCCGTCCAATCGATTTGGGAGAATAAATGGTCCAATGAGCATACCG